AAATCATTTCCTCTTATCGTACATTTTTAATCACACTACAGGGTGCCGACAGGTGCAAGCGCTCGGCAAAGGCTGAAAGGACTCACATTAAGAAAAAAATGTTCCGCAAATTCAGAAACGCTGCAACTTCAAAAGCAACTTCAAACGTCCAAATCAAATGTAACGGCTGAAACGGGCTGCAAATGAAACAAACCTGCCAAAGCAACTGCATTAACATCAAACGCACTGTAAAAAAAAAAAAAAATGCTCAGTGTGAGATCAGAAAACACAAATATTCAGAGACAACTGCAAATAGACAAACTGTGCAAATCCAGCCGTTTCAACATAAGTGCTCCAGGCCTGTAGGGGCGCTGTGGTGGGAGCGTTTGGTCACCTCAGCGTCACCTCTCTGTCTGTTTCTTTTATTGAACCAAGTTAGGAGGCGAGATCATTTCCAATACGGTGACTGCCAACGTTTGGCTTCTTAAAAAAACGGGTGTCATTATGAAGACCATGTGTCTGTTTTATACCATTTGTTAGAGGTTTTATGAATGTCAGTGTCACTTACCGAGAGGCAGGTAGCTCTCTGACTGGTGAGCTTTGAGCGGGCGTCTCCTCTCTTGGACCTGGTTCAGACTCGCTGGTTGGCTGCCGCAGCGATCCTTCAACCTGAGACAAAAAAGGTTACGCCGTCAACTTCTACTTTCTCTTCTGTTTTTCTTTCAAAGCCTTTTCTCCTTTTCTTTCTGTAAACACACTAAAACCTGCACCACATATTCATTCCTCCCGCCTCCCGCTCTTTTCCTCAGACGGATATGGACTCCATACGTCACGCTCAGAGGACTCTCATGCAGCGTGAAATAACACACACTCTCTATTTTTAAACGATACATTTGGAACATGTCATATGAACAGCGCTGTGCATGGACGATGAATGGCAAATAGCTGGAGGCTGCATGTTAGAGCAGGAAGAGGTTTTTGATTTCATTCTGCCAGTGAAAAAAACTAAAATATAATTGGTCTGCAGCCCACTTCCACCACAGGCCTGTGTGGTGCTGAGTTTATGAGTAGCGGTCTTTATTTATTGAATCACAGCGGTCAAATACAAACTCATAAAACACATCGTTCCAGCCGCAGAGGAAGTGTTGATCAGTGTGTTTGTGTTTCTATCACTTGTACGAACCTGAGCTGGCTGCCCCGGCTCGTGCCGTTCTCCCTGCAGTGTGTGCCGTCCTGCACGTTGTGTGTGTTGTCGTGTGTGTGTCCGTTGGTGATGTTGAGGCTGAGGCGCTTCTGACTCCGCCTCTCCTGCGCCATGAACCCCGACGCCTCCCTGTGGTTGCCGGAGAGCCCGTACTTTTCCTCCAAGCAGCGCAGAGGCAGCGCTCTGTTGATTGGCTGGAAGATGATGGCTCCGACCACCTTGAGTTAACGGACAGAAGAAGATACGGTTCTTTAACGACAGGATTAACGGGTTTAACACTGTAATCCAGTTATTGTACGGATTCATGTCAGCTAGACAGGAAGTAACATATTTATATTCATCATTTAGTCCAATTACAACAACTCCTTTTTGTCTGCAGTTAGTCCATTTTCTGTCCTGCACCTGTGTGACTGTTGCTTTGATGTTCACACTCTAGTTTCCTCTTCTTTTTTTTTTTTAAATATTTGGACAAACCCACCTGGGAAACAGCTTTCCTGTTGCCGACATAGAATCTAATAAGTGCCGGGACGCTGTCAAAGCCTTCTCTATCCAGCCGGTACTCCACTCTGGAGTACGCCTCGTTCAGCATCACCACCTGAGAAAAAGAAGAAATGTGAACAATTACATTATTTAACTGTTGTTATTTGATGGTACCCAAACCTTTTCTTCTTCTTTATGTGACGCCTTAAAAAAAGAGACAGAGTGCACTGTGTGACTGGCTGTAACAGAAATGTCTGCAACTGTGAGAAGATCTGAGTGAAGCTGTAGCTCAAGATCAGTTAGGAAGAATACGTATTTGTATTGGTCCTCTCTCGCGTTCCTCATGCCTTTGGTTCCTTCATGTTGACGTTTCATGTGTGCCGCCACCTCCCCATCCCCGCCCGTCTTTGCAGAATCATCAGCCATCAATTCTTCAACCATCTGGTTTAACAAGTCATCGGCCTAAACCACCCGAAGGGGGGATTGATTCTAAATGACCAACAGAGTACCCCGTTGCAGGAACGTCCCATGTAAACCATGCACACACCATGCACTGCTGCTGGGTGAAGCTGAGGAAGCTGCAGGCAAAACGTGTTGTTCCCTCACTATAAAGTTACAGTAAAGACATTTTCAGTCTGCCACCGATTGTGGATTTATTTTTTGGGGGATTTCTAATGTTTACGCTCAGAACTGAACTTCTCCGATCACAAAAATCTCCCATAGAGTCCAAGCGCAGAAGACCTTCTGTAGAGACACATTTCAATTTGATAATCTACTGAAATTGCATTTCAGATCTTTTGCAATATGTGCTGTGTATGTTGTGTTGTTCAGCCTCAGGTTGTTCTCACTGTGTTTGAGTTTGAGAATCCACCGGTCTACATGAAACACCTTTGTGATTCTGGCCATGCTGTCATACCTTCTTGTTGATTTTAAAGTGCTGGGCAGTGTTCCTCCACTGGCTGGTCAGAACGTAATTTCCTGGACTGGACAGCGAATCACGAATCAGGAAATCACCGTCACGCTGCACCAAGTTTTCTGCAACCTGGAGCGACACAGAAGGTTACATGTACGGGCGCAACAACACAAACACAAACGCAAAGCACGTGGACACATGCAGGCACACAGTGTTTATTTACAGTCTAAACATTTCATCTGAGGTGATAACGCTCGCCTGTTCTGCTGTTTTTACATCTTTATATGAGCGCAGTGCCGGCTGGTTTGCAGCGGTTACATAAGACATGGAAGATATTTAAAGCCTCAACTTAATTCAGTATTTATAAAGCGAGAAAAAACATCAGAGAGATCTCAATTTATATTTTATCATTTCACTTTCCTTTGGGAAAAAGCTCTTTTCGACACATTTAGACCTCTACAGATGCGTCATGTAAGACGAAAAGAGAAGCTTAGTTTAAGGTGAACTTTTCTGGAGATTTTAGATGCACCCCCTAACCCCGACCCCAACCCCACCTGACCCCCACCCTGTGAGCAGCGCTGCACAGGGAGCGCCACCTCACTCCAACATCTCTCCATCAGAGCATGTCCACAGGATCCAGGATGTGTGTGTGTGCAGCATGTTCAACAACACAGTTTAAAATTGAAGTTCCCCTGCCGATATTAATAAAGTATATCTTATCTTAATTTATTTTCTTAAAGGTACAGTACACAATTTTGGGAACATATTCACTAAAAAGTGGTTGAGCTTGCAGGTTTACATGACTGCCTTTTAGTTGCTTTTATGTTTTTAAATACCAAACATTACTCAGCATCAACTTCTCAAACATTCAGATGTTTTGTCTGAAACTAAAATGTGTTTTTTTCAACTGTTACAAGTCTACAACAAGCGATTAGAGATGGTCATAACGGTTATTTGTGACCATTTCTGACATCATACCTCAACTGAGAAAATGCTCACACCCTAATGAACACGGTCATCCAAACATAAACCCTCAACAAAACAGTGAAAACTCATTCAAAAACATTCATTTTCTGCTGGAACAGATGAAGTGCAGCATCCACTTCACTGAAATCAAAAAAACGATTAAAAGCCGAGCTGTGAGACGGCCTGAGGTACAAAAAAAAACACAAAAATCTGAACGAGATTTAGTTTGAGACAAAAATCAAATTAGCTGATAATGTATCTTTATCGTTGTTTCTAATTCAGTCTTGTTTAATTTACTACCTTTTTACTCTCTCTCTCTCTCTAACACACACACACACACACACACACACACACACACACCCTTAACACACAGTTACACACTTTAATTAAGCGAGTGTTTGTATAGGACATAATGGTAGTTTAGTTTAGCCAAAGGAAGCAGCTTATTAAAAATGATTACATCTCAGAGCGGGCTCTAAGAGGGAACACACAGCCTCCCTCTCTCTCTCTATCACACACACACACACACACACACACACACACACACACACACTCTACACTCACACCACACCGTACAGAAAGAGCTTTTTATACACTGACCTAACGCTATAACCCTGCTCTGTTGCTGAGGCCAATATTTAAGCTATAATCTTTCTGTAAGCATGTGTGTGCAGTTTGTCTAATAATAGGTGATCTGGTTCAACAAGTTTTTAACCAGGCTTGAAAAGGGAGGGCCCTGTGACTCAGATTTGTGTGTGTGTGTGTGTGTGTGTGTGTGTGTGTGTGTGTGTGTGTGTGTGTGTGTGTGTGTGTGTGTGTGTGTGTGTGTGTGTGTGTGTGTGTACCTGTCTGGGTATGGCTCCGTGGTACCATGCGTGGCTCCTCGGCTCCTCACAGTTCATCTTCAGTTCTTCTTCGAGCTCTCTGCGGAGCTTCTCTGAAGGACAGTCCAGGATGAACTGATCCCTGGAGAACTGTGATAAGTAGAAGAAAAAACACTCAATAAATAAATCAAACTAGAACTCAACGCTGCGCTGCGCTCGGCTTTTGGAGGAAGTCAAAGAGAAACAGACGAGCGGCAGTCATCGTAAAAGTTGCAACAGTTTCTTTATTCCACAAAACAAACAACGATGAGGTCAAAGCTCAGAGTGATGACAAATATTACTCTGGTGACACCACAGTAACCAGACCAGAGCAAATACACGATAAGGTAGAAGGGAAAGACGAGCGGCTGTGGCTCAGAGGTCATCTCTCAATTAGAAGGTCGGGGATTTCGACCTCCTGCAGCCACATGAACAAGAGTCCTCAGGCAAGACACTTAACCCCAAACACCTCCTGTTGCTACATCAGCAGCGTGTGAATGTGTGTGAATGGGATTAGATATTACTGGTGGACACTTTAGCCCAATACTAGCTCACATTCATTTTACCATTTAAAAAAGGCAATGGCAAAAAAAAAAACTAAATAGAAGTCCCCTGATGAGAGACAATGAACCTCTTTGCGTGTAGGAACAAGGTGAGGAGATAACTGAGGGTGCAAAAATAGTGTGCAAGTATTAGAAGAGAATGATGAGCTACAAAAATAGTACGACCATCATGAAGCAGCGCGTAAAACGGCGCTCGTTGAGAAGCTCGAGACACTGAGAATATTGAAGATGAAAAGTCCCGACTTGTTGTAAAGACGTGTTTTTCTTAGCTTTTAGAGACTCCTCATCAGAAGTTACTTTAGTTGCTGAGCAGTGAAGTGTTAATGTTTACTTTAATGCACATTGTTTATAGCTCTGAATATAGAACAAAAACTTGGGTCAAAGCTCATAAAGACAGAAAAACCTGCTAAAAACTCATACTTTGTGACTTCTCAGATTTATCCTGCAGGCTCTGAATCTTTCAGGTCAGACATCATCCATCCATCATGTGCAGAAGAAAACAGCGAGCAGCGGCAACACAACAACAACTCTTCAGAGTCACAGAGTTAAACAACGCTACAGCTAACAATGATGAATGGACTTGAGCTTGTTTTCTGTCTTCTGACTACTCAAATCGCTTTTACATGCGGATGGTATATAACACAAAAATCTTTTTAGACTTGTTATCATCAGTGTTTTTATCAGTGCCTTGTTGTTATGGGACCCCCATTCCTCAGCTTGACCTTCAAATATTTAAAAATCCTCTTTCAAAGCCTTTTCATTTAACATTGAGTTCATACTGTGATATTTTAATCTTCTCTCTGTGTTGTAAATCAGGCAGAGCTGACACTACAGCTGACTTTGACCTCCTACCACTACGGCCAGTTTCATCTGTGACATCCATTCATCATTTGTGTCAGTCTAGAAATGATGAGATGATACACAACACATTTTAAACACGTCATTGGTGGATTAAAGATTTTTAAAGAGCCAGTAACAGAAAGTGAAACCTTCCTAAACGAGAACTTTGAGGCTCAGAGTGAAGAAACATTTACACATGAGCCTCACAGAACGGTACAATGTGTCAAACCAACTGACTGAAGTGGTTAAATCTATAAAAACACCCAACAGGTGATGAAACGATCGATCTGTCGGTTTCACATCAACAAGAGACGGAATGATTAGAAAAGAGAAAAGTGAAGGAGAGAGAGATCTTTGAGAGGAGGCAGAATCAGCACAACCACCTGCACCAAAACACCAAACACACACACACACACACACACACACACACACACACACACACACACACACACACACACACACACACACACACACACACTACACACACTTACATGACAGCTGCTCGGTCTCTGCATTGCTTTTCCTTCTTGCTCCTCCTTAATGACACGCTGCATAGCAAACACACTCACACATTGTTTTTTTTTAAATCTCTGATATTTAACAATTCACACAAAACCTTTCTACGGACTTTGTATTAAACAACATGTTCACACACACACACACACACACACACACACACACACTAACTATACTGTCTGTGTGTCTCTCGCCCTCTTTCTCTCTGTCCTCGGTGATTTTCCTCTCTTCTCTTTCCACCCGGTGCCTCCTAATGTGATGTCATCTACCTGACCCCACCCAACTTCCCGGACCTGCCTCCATACACACCCTCACCTGACGTACGTAAACACACACACACACACACACACACACACACACACACACACACACACACACACACACACACACACACACACACACTCATACTGAAGTGACGCACACACACTTCTCTGAACTTTCCCTGACTAATAGTTTGCTGATGAAACAAGCAGTCTGTGGTTAAATAGAACTCAGTTTGTCCCTTACTTGTTGATACTCATCATGTAATACTGCTGTCAGTGAGGGATATATTACTTTTGTGTAAGGTGTTTTAATTCAACAAGAACAATGCACAATGCAGCAGATATTATCTGTATCTGTAGTTATGTACTAGAGGTCATCAGTGCTACAATGGCTGTACACACCGAGGTGCTGCTTGTCAACAGGTAAGGCAGGCGACTTCCCTCTGAGGCCGGACAAACTTTGAATCGCAGCAGTGGCTCAAAAATGTGCACGTTTTGCAACAACAGTAAGAGACCTCCCTTAGAGGGCCCCATCAGACAGCACTCACTCTCAATGCGCTGCACAATGATTGCCTGCATTAATCTGTGAAAAACAGAGTTTGTCAAAGTCACAGAAGATAAATGAAGAAAATTATCCATCTCAGAGTGAAAAAAGAAAGCAAGACATTGGATCAGGAGCAAAAGAGACGAATAAGTGCCACCTCAAAATGCTGATCATGCTAACTAGTAATCATGACATAAAGGGGATGAACGCTGGTCGGACGGCCCCTGTACATTTTTGCCTAGGGCCCCAAAAGACTCCAGATTCGCAAGTTTCCAGTTACAGGTTCATTTTATTAACATATCATTAAAAAAAGAAACAGGTCTTGCTCAAAACGCTTCACAAAAACGGTCATATGCTCCAAACATCCCAAAGAATACCTGAGGATGGCTCTACTGCAGGTGCACAGTGCACGGTTCTATGATATTATGCTAATGCTATGCCATTTATATGCAACTAGGTTGTAATTTACCAGCTGGGAATGTTTAATATCAGGTCGACACGCTGCTGCTGAAATCAAGAAAGAGACATGATCCAAACGTGCACTGAGCTACCAGAGTCATGACTTTGATGCACACACACACACACACACACACACACACACACACACACACACACACACACACACACACACACACACACACACACACACACACACCTACATGTAGAAGGAAATATGTCTATAAGTGTCCCCAGGAAACTGAAACCTCTCACATCGTAATATCGTTTGTTCTCTCTCTTCAGTTCTCCACCTCTGTGTTTCTGTTGTTGTTTACTTCTCTCATATTTTCTGCGTCTTTGTAAAGTCATTAGGATAGACCCCTGTGCCTTCAGTCTGCATGTCTCCATGCATGACAGGAAATCAGCTTATCACGTTACAGCTTCTAACTCATCATAATGCACATGTCCTGACTCTGTCATTGATCTCACTGTATGGAATCAGACTCTGCCTTCAATATTACCGCCCAGTGGTTCAATGAAATGACGACATTACTTTTCTTAAACAAACAACAAACAGCACATTTAGAGGCTGCATCATGTTTATCTGGTTTCACTTTGTTTGCTACATGTATGTCACATCTCTCAAAGGCAGAATGTGCAATATTTTACACTTAAAAACAGCAGAAATCGAGTATCTCCTGTGTAAATGTGTCTCTGAGTCATGACTGTCTACAATGAGTGAGAAGCTCGAGTCCCGCTGGCTGTGTTGTTGTCAGAGCCGTGTGTACATTGGAATTTGAATGTGGGTTGCGGAACCCTTTTTAACATGTTGTTTTGTTCCGTTTCTATATTGTGTCACATGTTTTGTACCTTCTGAGATCCACGATGCATAATTTTTCATTAAATAAATAAATCTGATTGGTTGAAAAGGGTCCGACATTTGGGTGGCGATCTTTCATGAAGGAGTTGGTGGTGGGTCCTGAGGGTAAACCAGTTGAGTCTTAATGCACTGCCTGTGCAGCATGCTTGTCCCGCTATACCTGCTGAACTGGATCTAATGAAACAATAATGATGATAGTATCAAATCCCTTTGATCTGGCTTGTATCGGAGCCGTGATAAACAACAGGCGCGGTGCTTTTCCCCCTCATAGATCTGTTTTGGATTACTGTCACATCTGTGATTATATTTCATTACAACCATCACAGTTAAAATGCTTTTACATCTGCAGCCACACTGCCAGCAGGACTAATGAACAGAGGAGAAGTGGAGAGTATAACGGCTGGCAGAGGAAGGAGAAAAAGGACGAGAGGATGGAGGGATGACTACAGATGTAAGAGGAGGGATGGATAATGTGCATAAAGTATTATAAAGAGGGGCAGAGGGATGTAGAGGAGGAAGGAGAAGACATGGAGATGGTGGATGAATATATTTCCATGACTGTCCTCTAATAAAACCCTGCAACATGATGTCATCGTCAGAGAGCAGCTGCACTTATACTGTACCACAGTGTGAGCCACATGAGGCAGTAACACTACACAGGACTGCACTGACATGTCTGTCCTGTCTACATGCTCAGATCTCTCCTCTCTTACTTCTTCTCCTCTTTCTTATTTTCTCAGCGCTCACAAGTTAAATGACTTTCTAGCATCCCGAAAAAAAAAGTGAAGTGGGACACCTCTGACTGTAGCAAAGGTAAAAATGCCTCCAAAGACGTAACCTGTTGAACCTGATGTTTATCTACAATCACTTTGACAAAACACTCGGACTGGAAGAATCTCAGGAAGGTAAGTAACCAGAAAGGTAAGTCATACGCCTTAATGACGGAGAAAACCCGCAGAATTTAAGTGTTTTTCCAGTGAATTCATCCCTAAATGAAGTCATTTGCAGGTTCTTCCAAAACATCAAAACATGTTACCTGACGTAGATTTGACTACCTGCATAACAGC